TTAAAAGGTAAAGGTGAGGGATTTATTAAAGAATGGATAGGTACACTCTCAGGGGAGAGCGGGCAGGCTCAGGTGAGCAGCTGCCCTGAGTTTCTTTGGCAAGTTAGTTACATAGGATGTAAAAATGAATGGGCGTAATATTCACTGGGGAGGGAAGGGTTTGGGGTCGTGTTCCCTGATTATCATCCAACTCCACCTTCCCGAAGGGAGGAGGGATTTTTGTCCTTATTTAGTCTGGACCGGAAGTGTCATGGCGTCGGTGCATAATGGGTACTTCTGATCTGCAAGGCTAATTTTATTGAAATGAGGGCATAATGAGTAAAAGGTTACATTCGGACACTGGAAATTCCTGCCTTTTCTGACCTTTCTTTGTTGGTCTCCAAGCCAAAAGGTGTGGCCCCTTATCAGCCCAAAGATTCCAGCTTTTCTTTCTCTGCCCAAGGATCCCTGCTGCTCACATGATGTGTAGTTTCCTGCATTTGGCCTGTGCCCCTCCTTTCTGCCCAATTCCTGCCATTTGGTCTGTGTCCCCCTTTCTCTGCTCATATCTAGCTCTCTGCCTGCTCTAACACCAAGAGCCAAAGTCTTAACTGCGAGAAGTCAGGGGGCTGTAGGGAGCTTTGTTCTTCAGTCCATTGGTTTGCTTCGTAGATGCACCTGTTCAAGCCCTAAAATTTTAAGTTCAGGCAGCACCTCCTGTGGCTGCACTGAGCCGGGCTGTGCTGGCTACAGGGAACTTACTTCTCTGCTGCTCCCAGCAGTTATGTGCATGGTGTGCAGCCTCCCGTGGGGCCATGATGGTTACTCCTTTCCAAGATGCCTTTGCTTCAGGGATGCCAAGTGGGAGTAGAGTGGTAATATTGGCCACTTTCAGGACTGGAAAGCCCAGCTACCCCAGTGGGTCCAGAATCCATCTTTTCTTCAAGGTGGACAGTTCATCCTCAGAGCCTTGTCGGGTCTCTGGCATCCAGTCAGATAGTGGTGAAGGAGGGGGTTGTTCAGGTTGGCTTGTCCCCTCCTGGCTTGAAACTTGCCAATGGTGTCATTTGAGCTGTGAGAAGGAACATGTGATTCAAGGCAAATGTCAGACTGCACTTCAATAGAGAAAGACTTTCAACTTTTGTTTTGCAAAAGAACCACAGTCATCTCTCTTTAGAGTCCCATATGGCACATGGAACTTTAAAGAGTAGAAGGCCCAGGGACGTGGCACATTTGAATCTGAATAACTTAAATTTACGGGAAATGCTAACTGCAGAGAATATCTGGCATTTCAAGAGAAAAAAATTTCTCTAAGCTGAACCTTTGCAATGTTTATTATGGAGAGGGAAAAACATTTTCACAGCCCTTTGTTTCCTTAAGCAGCAGCTATTGTTCTTTAAGCAAATCTGGGGAAAGGTTCAGGGGTGAGGCAGGACCCTGGCCAAATGGGTGCGTTTTCACATTCCTCTAGGGAAAGAAATAGATTTGAAATGATCAGATGCTCAGATGAGCTCAAGTCAACATCTGGTGTGTGGGTGCCACTGGCAGCTCCCGGGTAGCACCCCGTGACAGGCATGAGGGCTTTTCCCAGGGGAAGATGCTAGCGGCTGTCTACAGCAACACGGTGTTTCCTTAACTTTCCGTGAGCTGATAGAGTACAGTTACATGGATCAACATGCACGCTATTAAGTGGTTGCATTTAATGGCCTTGTAGCACCCAGAGCTCGTTTTTGTTGTGCTCATTTGTCAACCAACTGCCCTTTTCAGTGCTGGTCCTTTGAAAGCCCCAAGTAAAACTAAGGTTAGTGGGTATCCTGTGAGGCAATCACTCTTTCAAATTGCTTGTACTTTGGGGAAGTATTTCAGAGAACTTGTGTGTCCTGCCAGATGTCTAGACCAGTACTGTATGAAACAAGAGAAATTGTTTTTAATGTTATATTTTATTTTACCCAATATATTCAAAATATGATCCCCTCAAGATGTACTATTAAAAATTATTACTGGGATATTTTACATATTTTAACACTAAACCTTTGAAATCTCTATTTCATATTTAAAGCACATGTCAGTCCAAATCGGCCACATTTCCAGTGCTCCAGTGGTCACACGTGGCTGATGGCTGCTGTTCTGAACAGCATAGGCCTAAGTCTCCTTCTCTTACCCAGACTTGTCCTTTCCTAAATCTCCCGGGTTCTGAAGTGGTCACTGTTAATATTCAAATTCCATTTAAAGTCCTGCTCCTGATTTCTGTCCCTGGTGATTAAACAAATTTCACTACTAGATTGATCTAGTCACAGGGCCTCACGAGATGTGCCTACTTTAGAGGAGAAACAATTTTTTCCCTATTACAAAAGAAACATGCTTTTTAGGTTGATCAGAAAATACATCTAGGCAAAAGGAGAAAGATTAGGATGATCTGGAAGCCCACCATCCGGAGATAATTCCATCCTCTGGCTTAGTGGGTGTTCTGATTGATTTTTTCCCCATGTGTGTATCTTTCCCCAGAACTGGGATCATATGGTGCACACTTTTATTTTCTTTTACAGTCTTCTACAACTTCAATTTTAATACATAACACTGATGTGCCTCATGCAACATCCATATGCTGTTGCCCACAGGTTACCAGACCTGAGAACTTGCCCTCCAAAAGGGGTGGTTATCGCCTGGATGTACCCTGAGAGCAGCCCCGTGGTGTAATGCGCACGTGTCTCCAGCTGGGAGGAGTGCCTTTGTGGTGGAATGAGGGGTGGCTGGGCTGTGATAAGGCTGGGATTGGATGTGCCAGCTCGTGCTGAGTGGCCATTATGTACACTGAATGCATGAGGCCCTCTGGTAGTGCCATCCCACGTCGCCCCAGAGTGAGAGCATTGTCATGGTGGAGGCTGGTGTGCTGCCCAGACCACCACCCCACTTCAGTCCCTAGGCACTCATTCCCCTAGCTGCTGACAGGTCACAGACAAATTCTCCAGGAATTGCCTTAGCTAAGGGCATCAGGGTCATGCCCCCTGGCCCAGGAGAGCTCCCAAACAATGGATGATTGATGGGGACCCATAACTGCCTGCCCCCTTACCCCGTCCTGAGACAACTCTTCGGGGCTCTCCCAGTTCCGGAGCTCTCTGCATAATCTGCGGAGGCCTGTGTTGGGACAGCAGTGCATCTCTTCTCCCTCTGCCCAATCCCCTTTCTTCCCTCCATCCCTGCACCCCCTCCCACCTTTCCCACAGGTGTGTCTCCCGAGAGCGTCTTCTGGCAACCTCCTTATATGCATGTCTCTAGTTCACTTAGCTTCCCAGGGAACCCAGTCTATGACAGACACTAAAATAAAGCTTACTGATCTGACAAAGAGTTTATGTGTGCGATAGATCTTACACAGACAATAGAAGTTAAATGATTATTAGCTCTTACTGTAACAGCTCCAGATTTCTCCACAACACTGGTGTTGCTAGAAATGTAACATTTTCCCTTCCAAGTTAAATCAGATCTGGCTTGGACCTCTCCCTTGGGAAGTCAGCCGGAAGTGTTCCTTTTTTGTCCTTCTCGATGGCTCTTCCCCCACCATTTGGGCTGTGCTAAGATCCCAGGCCACTGGTCTGAGAAATTGGCAGGGACGGGGGATGGCCCTGCCAGGGCCTTAGCAGTCTTCTCCTAGGCAGACCACGCCCCTTGTGACCCCCGTCACCCTGCGTTGGCCTGGGACCCTCTATGCTCCACTCTGTACTGGCATGGGTCCATGTGGAGGAAAATATTTCTACAGCGTATTTCCTTCCTTGAAATTCCAGGCTTTATTCAGCCATCTCCTGATTCCTGATGAGGGGATTTTGCTCCTTAAATAGCAACTGTTGGCTGCCAGCTAACCTGGCGCAGCCTCAGGAAAATAGCTAAGACCTAACTGAGTCGGCGACCTTTCATGTTTCCCCCGGAGAGGGAACAATTATAAATTTCTCTACCCGGAAAGCAGGGGTGTCGAAATGACCTCTGGTTCTTGTGCTGGGAATAGATGGTTCAGTTTTTATGGGGATTCCTATCTTCCTCCACCACCTCTGCTTTAGGTCCTAAAATTGCCTCCCTCTTCCCCTTTATTAAGTTGGACTGAGAAGCCATCTCCGATGGATGGATCAGACAAGGCATGATTTAGTCACTGTTATGGGTTGAATTGTGTCCTCCCAACTGCAAAAGATTTGTTGAAGATCTAACCTCCGGCACCTCAGAATGTGGCCATATTTAGAAAAATAGGATCTTTACAGATGGAATTAGCTAAGATAAA